AATATAGATATTAAATTATAGTAATAACTAAAATAAAAATAAAAATGGTAAGTGCCATTGGCAATATCAATAAAATATATGTTAACAAACCGGGGGCAAATTTCATTCCCATCCAGACGCTCATCGGCATGCATCCGTGGTGAATGACATGCAACGTCGACACTTGTTGGTTCTTCTTCCTAAGTATAAAAAACAACTGGAAAAAAAACAAAGCGAAAACTATACGGTTTTTGTAAATTATATTATACGAAGTCAAATAATATATACCTAATTATTATTATTGTGTAGTAGTCACTGACCTCCACGAATATTACCTAATATATATTATGCACACAATAGCTGCGATACCCCAATTCAATACAATATATGTATATAGGCCAAAAACGTACCCCTCACTCAACCACCATCCTCTCAAAATGTATATAATAGAGAAGGCAATAGCAATGAGTTGTACGAAAATAACACGAAAGCTTGTGTGACATTGGTCGATCGATTTTGCTTTTCTTCCCCGCTACACACCCGCCACCGAAATATATATATATATATAATGGTATACACATATACACGACGTCTGTGAATTATTTCTATGCGGCCGGTTATTTTCAGGCACCCTGAATCAACTATATTATAAATATATATATACCTACATAGTTTTAAAGTATATCGTGAAATATTTTGTAATACCCTGACCATCCACGATAATCGTGAACACAATTCAATTTCTATAACCCACCCGCCACTAAATCCACACACGAGTACAACACATAATTATAATATAATAACAAAAAAAATAATTAATATTAAATTGTCATCATAAGAAAAACTTACCGTATCGAAAAATTCGGTGAATTTAGAAATATAGTACCACCAGCAAGTTTGGGCCATCTAGAAATATAAATATACACGAACATAATTATTATGTTGTTTTATCATATATAAATAATGACAGTATCGTCAGTAGTACCTATATAATTTAAAAGAGATACACTACAATGAAAAGTTAACAAAATGTATAATAACAGATCAAAAATACAAAATCGTTTATATATTATGACTAATATGCCCAAATTATAATGGATCCAAAATCCAAAGAGATGGTATCAATAATATTAATATGATAATATGGATATTAAAAAAATACTCACTCGTAAGGCCATCGGACTATTAGAATAGTCAACCGGCTGACATTTTAGACTGTACGATCCTCCCCAGCCGCTCATCATATACTGCGAAAAAAAAAATTATTTTTGAATTAGGAGCCCATTTTTTTACAGTCGCTACTTGTCGGTAGGTTTAACATATAAATGTATATGTATAATAATTAATAAGATATTTTATGCATTCTGTTTGGTATTCTTAGCATTTAAAAACGGTTATGATAGGTTTTCACATAAAAAAAATAATATAATGAAATTGACAAAAACGATAATATAATAAATTAAAAAAATAGTAATTTAATCAAGGCTGAATGGGGACCATAACTAATCATGACCCGATGAACTTTTATGTGCCGGGCATACACCACATAGGTACCTATAAGTACTTAAATTATTTATATTACAGTAAGTCTTGGTAATCCGAATTTCAAGAAGGATAAAAATTAATTCAACTGATTTCTTTTCCAATTATATAACTCCATTAAAAAAAAAAATTTATTCAATTTACCTATTATTATTAATTTATTAACTACATACATAATCAAAATAAAAAGATAACATTTAAAAACAGATTAGTATAATAATATATTATAGCAGCCAACTCTTAATATTAGCTATAACTACATTTTTTTTTCTGGAAATATAACTTCATAAAATCTTTTCGTATCGAAATCTAAATATTACGTAACTACGTACAATTAAAATTATTAAAACTATTAGATTATTGTCAATTATTAATCATTTATAAAAAATTTAATAAAATACCACTTTAATGGACAAAGAATGTATTTGGGTCAGATACAGGCATTTACAGATTGATTACAAATATATACGGAGTAATCTAAAACAATATTGAAGAATCGGCCAATTGAATTTCAGCCTAATCACGATATATTTACGTTTGCCAAACTGTGCTTAAAAATACAGCGAAATGATACACATTTCGATTCTAATGTTTATACATATAACATTCCTAATGAAAGTAGTACATCGCATAATCTCAAATACCGCTTATAGCTATTATAACTTATAACAACTCCAATAAATAAATTAGTAAAAACGCTAAATAAATATAGATATATTATGTAGCTGCTCGTTACACACACACACACACACACACACAAAAAAAAAATACTGTTTAAAGAAGTTAAACTACTCACAGAAAGTACGCAAGTACACTACACCATATCGAATAATCCGAAATAAGTGTTAGAAGTGATTGAATGATTAACTTAAAATTTAATTCAATTAAAATAACCACAAAACTGTATATTCAAAACACTCTTCAAAATAAATAGATTTAAAGTGTTAAAAAGAAAAAAATATTTTAATATTAATAATAAATACTAATCTTATATATATATATTTATAATACGCGTTTACTAACTTTATATGAGATTGAAACATATAACGCATGTTTATACCTATTAATTGTATTAACTATATGGTTATATATACGAGTATAGTATAGTCCATATAATATTGTTATAATAATAATGAGTATTTTATTGAAACACAATCTCTATTACATTTTAAACAATATATTTTAGAATCTACAACAGCTATTGGAGTGTATTTTAAAGAACTATAGGTTTAGATTTTTGCATATTTAAGATTAATATTAAATTTTTATATTTTTTTTAAGCACATAAACAAATTAGTTAACTACAGTAAGGAACATAGCTAGTCATTGAAAAGTTTATGAAATATTTATTCCTATAATATTAGGCGCATAATATTATACGCGTAAATAGAAACTAATGAATTTCAATGTTAGATTATGACTTAGTTATATTTTGATAATACCTTCAAAATAATATTATAAATTTAAAATACGAATCTAACTGTATTAAAATCTTATTGTAATACGACGATACATGTATTATTACTATTTATTAATGCAGTTGATATATTTCAGTATTCAACCTTGCATAAAACTAGATTCTTATATACTAGTAGTAAAATAAGGAGTTATACTATAGGTATTTAATATGCATTATCAATTCTAATTTGTATGAAGGTACTACAAAGCTATACAGGCTATACAGATGAATGTYATTGAGGTAAATATAATATATATATTAACTTCAGTTGTTTGAAGTTAAAGAAAACCAGCTATATAGTAATATATATTTCCAATATTATATAAATTAACATTAAGATAATTATATCATAAACTGAAACTTAATAATTTATTAAAATTAAGTTATTTTAAAAACTTTTAAATCTTTACAAATAATTTCAAATAGTTAAAAAATTTATGAATAACGTTTATATAATAATTTTATTATAATTTGTATACATTTTG